TATATATATATATATATATATATATATATATACATATTCCATATATATATATATATATAATATGTAACCAATTGGAAAACAATAGTGATATTCTGATATTTCAAATATAATTTTGAATTTTAAAAATGCCGCTATTATCTCCGCTCATATACCCGGCATTTATTTTTGGCATTTCGCATTCCTTTCCTAATTATATCAGCTGAAACGTCGATGTAACAGAAAAATATAAAAGAGAAAATACCGTTCAATAAAAATTTTATATATTTGTTAACAACGATGACTATATGCAAGTGAAATGTTTGCGACGCCAGTGTAAGAAGAATCACTAGGGATTTTATCCGACTTCATGTTAGATGTAGGTAAGCGTTCTTTTCAAACCACGTTAATGCGTATTTGCAGTTTCGTTGAAGTCGTAATAAACGTGGTGATTTATGTTATTGTGTATTCTAAATCAAATATCATCGTTGAAAAAATATAGCTTGTACATTCTGGAAATAACCTGCTCGTTGATTGATTTCAAGTGCAAGCATGTAAGTGTTGTATTGATTTTTTAATTTGTAAATAACCTGTATAGAAACTTGATGATCGAATAATAATCGTCTTTATTAAAAAATATTTAACAACAAAATAGCAAAAAAAGCAATATTTGTAATCTCATATAAACATTTTCGGCGTTCGCGAGAAATTTTACGATAGATGTGTATAGATGTGTTGTATAGAAAACTTACATTACATGATATCCTTGACGTTGCGTCTTTTGTTTCGATCAATAAATACGGTTTAATGTTTTATCTCTAGACCGTCGCGTCATTAAGTACAGCGTAAGTATCGTTACGCGTACATGAGATATTTACCACAAATACTAAAGAAAACAAATTAATGCGTTTAATAACCGGTACCACAAAATAGTAGCTCTATGCTCTGCAGTCGATTGAACAAAAATCTATTTGTGTAATTTTCTACAAAAGACGCTAGGCGCTAGGTGAGTGTGCGTGTATTAGTTGCGTCTGGTTTTTCAGACATAATATTTTCTATATTTTCAGATGTAATATTTATATGTGTATGTATACAATTGTTCATAATCATTCATAGAAATGTTTTTTTACATTAACTTAACCTAACTCTGCTAACACGGAGTCAAGATCTTCTTGGAGAGTGAAACTATCTTCCCGTTGTTTTACTAAATCATCTTTCAGCCTGTCGACTTGTGCTTTGAGCAGATAATTACCTTTTCTTAATGCAGCTAAACGTCCTTCGTGTTTCTTGGCTTGTTTCTGTTAAAATATATATACAATTAAAAGATTCTTATGTAACATGTTATCGTATAACAGTTTGTATTACCTGTAATGTATTTCGTTGACCTTCCAGAGATTGATCTTCATCTTCTGTTTCAGTTTCTTCGTCTTCAGATTCTTCAGATTCTGATTCTTCTGATTCTGTTTCTTCTTCTTCCTCTCCCTCTTCATCTTCATCCTTATCGTCATCTTCACTTTCTGACATTAACTTTGCCATTTTATCAACTTCTTCCTGAAGATGTTTATACTTTTTCCTTTCTTCTTTCAACAATTGTTGTTGCTGTTTAATTTGATCTTTTAACGCGTGTCTTTCTTTTCTGGCATTAACAGCTTTGTCCCTATTTGATAAAATTGACATTAATTTCTTTATTATATATTAAACTTTAATATATTATTACTCACTTGAAATTTTTAATCTTGGTTGTCAAAAGTTTGATCTCTCTTTGTAACCGTTTCTCTGCTGCCTTTGGATCTTTGTCATCTTCTTCCTCTGAACTTTCTTCTTCCTCTTCTTCGCTTTCGCTCGGTTCTTTTTTATCTATACTTTTTTGAGAAGCTATTTTTGCTACATCTTTTGCACTTGGACAACCAGCCAGTGCCATTCCTGAAACATTGTACCAAGCTGCTTCGTGGCCATCATCTGCTAGCTCAATTATTGGTACAGGCTCAAACTCTTGCTCTAATTTGCAAAGCGTTTAATAAAGAAGCAAAATTAGTATAAGCGTAAGCAGGCTTAGTACTATTAATGAAAAACTAATAACAAGTCAGATCAGATATTTAGTTTTTCATTAAAAGTTTTTGTTATGCATGTTGTTAAAATATTTCTAAGATCATGATTTTTTAGTATTACGTATATAATATGTGCGAATGATCTTAAGTAGAAATGAAAGTTAAGTAGTCCAGTCTAAGTTAAGTAAGTTAAGTAGCTGTAAATATTCATTGGCTTGTACCAGCTTTCATTCGTCTTTCTAAAGCGGCATACATCCTTCTTATTTCCTCCAATTCATTTTTTAGTTTGTCTCTTTCGCCCGAGACAACCGCATATTCTTTCTCAAATTTCTCAGCATCTTCTCTTGCTTGCTGAGCGTCCTTTTTCAATGATTCTGTAATTTGCTCGTCGTACTTCCTTTGTTCTTGCACGCTTTTCTGAGATTTTGCATGGTCGACTTCGGCTTCAAGATTTAAAATCCTTGCCTGTAGGAAACATCAAGGAAAATCAACAGATTGTCGCCGTTTTTTCCGACGATACTCTGGCTTAACAATACTTTAAGAAACGTACTTGTAATTTTTTGTTCTCCTTTTCTAATGCCTCCTTATTTCTAAGTTCAAGCGCAAGCATTTGTTTAGTACTTTGTAAGTCATCCCTTACGGCATCAATGTCGTCCATGTCATCCGAAATAGAGTCATCCGTGGGTTCTTCAGACTTTTGCATTTGCTCCTCTATCGTCAGCTGCCTTCGGAATTTCCTCAAGCCCTGTAGCATTGGTCTCGATCGATCGTTGGTCTGTACTCTCTTTAATTTTACACCTTCCTGAATCTGCTTCAGCAATTGGTTATGCATGTTCGATTTTTCAGATTCGAACACAAAGTGTGCCTTCCCTAGTTAGAAACACTCTATCAGTACAACTGACACACATCCACCGTTTATAATAAATACAATTCAGAGACAATCTCCATGATTCCAACCTTAGAGTTCATTTAGGGGATAAAGGAAATAGGAAAAAGAGGGTATGTCGATAAAAACCCACTAAACACGAAGACAACAGTTAATTCAACGATAATAATATTATTAAACTACAGACGAGAGGGGTTCTCTTCTAGGAGAACGGGATCAGAACAATAGCTACTGTGTGTACTACAAACAGGTCATATCACAGTTCAGAAACAAAAGCTGATCGAATGAAAGCTTATTAACAATTTAATTAATTATACTCGTACGAGCCCCTTTTAGTTCGACATTCACAAGGATAAAAAGAGGGTTCGAGGGGTACGTAACAAAACAAAAGGGTTTTTCTACTAGCGACTAATCGACAAACACGGTGAAATCGGTTGTTCGTTCCGAAAAGTATCACCCAAGGGAAATCTGAGTAGAATCGAAGTTCGATCGACGATCACCTGCTGGATCAGCTGTAACCTTGTTCACCCTTTCGATCAAGGGCGCACTTCTGTCATTGCACTTCACGTGTCTCAAAGGTTTTCCGCTTTCCACTTCTTTCATCATGCTTGCCCAGTCAGGACGTTTCCGTGGTCTCTGTTTCAACATTTCCAGTTGTTGTTGTTGCGTGTCGTTTAGTGGCGGAAGGTCTTTCAAGATCGTTCTACTCGGAGGTGGTGGCGGAGGTCTTGGAGGTGGTGGTGGCGGGATCGCTGCCCTCGACGAGCTTTTTGATAATGTCGGCGCTCCTATTTATACGAAAATTTTATTTTTATCCTGACCGAATGGTATCGCAAATTTTTCTGCCTTTTACGTTTCATACATGATCATTACCGCGAAGAAAGTTAAATAGTTGAAAACGTTTGTTGCGTTTAACATGATATATAACTGTCGCGTTGGCGCAACATAAAAGGTATCGATTAGAATAGATCTGATAATTTTGTAACGTTTATGATAATATTACGAATGTTTATGGTTTATGGTTAAGCTTTGTCTTTACGGAGAGGTTCATGCCGTTACCTGTAGTGCTCTCACTCTTGGAGAGAGGTATCGTGTCACCTCGAGATCGGGACCTCTCGATTCGAACCTGTCGTTCGAGCTGTGGCCTCGAATTTGGCTCTTGTCGTCCATTCTCGCGAAGCTTCGTCGGTGCCGGTTGACTGCTCGTATTCTTCTCGCTTTTAGGCTGTGACGGGATTATTGTGATCTTGCTCTGTTTACGCGGCTGTGTTTCCGCCGAGGGCTTCGCTTCTGGTTTCGATACACTCTATAAACCAATAAACAGTTTTATTTCTCTCCTTTGAATTTCTTACCATTTTATCGATATATCACCTTTTATCAAGATTTTCACTAGGAATTTTTTCCTCTTCTATAAAGTATTTTACTAAAGTATTTTCTTATCCCTAACGAACAGTACTTCGTAGTGTCTTTATACGTTTTAAAAATATGCTTTCCACTTCTTTCGCGTTTATTCTATTTTCATCTACTTGAGACGTTTTTCGCCAGGAGCCTAACAATTACGTTTATCGTACTAGTAATATTTACATGCCAATCGCCAGTCGTCGCGTACTCAGTTTTTCGATTACAATCACTTTACTGTTCACGATCGACGAATATTTATGTTCGCAGCAGCTTTGTATCTCAGATCAGCCTGTTGGCGATTACTCGCAGGACTCGTTGATTATGACGCGTGGTAAAAGGAAGAAAATGATAGTACGTCGTGCGTGTCGCGAAAGATTGTCGTATTGGAAAATAGATAAAAAGAAAAAGACCGTACTCCCCCACCTAGTATCCTTCGTTCCTAAAGAAAGAAAGTCTCGAGAATTCTCTTGGCAAGTATCGATGTTCGTTCGGTCGTCTTTAAATAATCTAATTCGCACTTGCTCCGCGCTCCTTTTCAATCTAGAAACTTCGATCATTATTTTTCCTGATATTGTACTGTTTCTTCTTCGTAAAAAGAACGTACTACTTCTTTGTTGATCCTATCGCTTTCTGAAAGAAAATTGAAGCGTGGGTGCGAAAATTGGGATGATTATCGGAATACAGAAACGTCCAGATCTTTACAGTAGAATTTGCAAATCCAGCACAACTTATCGGTATATTTACGCAAAACCGTAATATAAACTCGTTAAGAAACTGGCGGAAGACGCAGCTGGCAAGACAGTTGAAATAGAAACGCGTGTTCTTTAAATAATCGTGACCCAGAGGCTTATATGCGAGGAGGCTAGCCTTCTCTGTCTGATGATCGTGCTTGTATCGAGAAAATCAAATTAATTCAATCCCTTTGATGTCTCATGTAGGCAGGTGTACGAACAGCTTCACGATTCTAATAAATCTCCGTTTAATTATATTAAAATCCGATAATCCATTTGCATAATTCGAACTTTAAAACGAATCGATAGGTTTCTATCATCCGAGAAGCTCGATCGTATTACCAATCATGGGATTAAAAACTTCCTTATCGTATGAAACGTTTGCGATTAAAGAAATTTCTAGCGCAAACAGAATATTTATAGAAAACAGTTTATTTTTGTATTATGTTAATTGGATTATTCATAGGAGAATGAATAGAGCGATATTTTTGGAATTTCTGAATTTCGTATTTGTTGGAAAATTTTCAACTTAACTGTTCGATAGAAAATTTCGTATGCGCTTTATGCGATGAAATATCGAGATGTAGCGAAAGTGATGGCGGATTTCGTAAATTGCAATCGAACTTGTCGATGATCTAACTACTCGCGACAGTTGTAAACAATAGCGTGACGCGAATGATCATGACGTTTCCACGTGTCTTTGGAACTTCGAACATCACGTTTCTCGCGTTTTCGCACGATCGAGGATCCATTCGTGTTCGTGGTCGTTTCGCGTGGCCCATTGCCAAAATATCAAAAGTACGCGTTTTCGAATCGTCGCACGACGAAAAATGCAAATAAACAAAAGTACGATAACTCGGATGATCGGCATAGGCGGCGTAGTTGATTTACATACGTACAGAAGCGCATACAACGAATCGTAAATATTTCCACAAATTAGCTGCTCGCTGTTTTTCCAAGCGTAATTTCATATTTCTAATAATAATCGCGCTACGTTGTATAATTCAGATGCAACGCCCTTGTAAATTTCTACTTGTCGAAACGATTATACGCGAGAACTTGTTACTCGGCACCCACGCAAGTTATTAATAGTCAAGCCTGGTGACTTTGAAACCTAATATCTGAATGGAAAAAGACTGCACAAGGCGGGCCTGATTCTTCGTCGTTTCTAGTAGCATAAGTCCGTATTTGATCAGACAATGAGCTAGCGCCCTGACGATCCCGAAACCAGACAAAAAAAGCAAATTCAACCGGTGGACGTGTAATTTGTTTGACGTAAATTGAAATTGGCTTTTGCGGATAATTCTTTCGTATCGTTCGTATAATCCATTTTATCGCGTGTTAAAAGTTGACAAAGATGACAAAGTAAATTGAGAAAAGAAAGACTCACTTTTAACGTAACTTGGGTAAACGGAGGTGGTTCCTCGACTTTCGATTTCGAATCTCTTCTGGAATTGAGGGTCCAGGGTGCAGTAGGCATAGGTAAAGGTGACGGACCATCTTTGACCCAGGGTGGCCTGAAGGTGGTCCTCTGCGGTGGTGGTTGACCACCGGCACCAGGCATTCTTCTTTATTCTGTCACAGGGTTCTCTTCTCGTCTTAGCTTCGACTTTCCTATCGACTTCCACCTGTCGATGGAATTAGACAAAGAGGCACGGGGATCTGTGTATCGGCTCTGGGCGTGCGTAATGACGAGGATCCTCTCGAGGACGTGTACGATGCGCCACTGACGGACTCCTGGACGACGAAATGAAAAGGTGGGGATCGGTTTTACGTGGGAGAGCCACGACCCACTTTCCTCGAGACGTTTTACACTCGGGAAATCTTCCGGATTGTCCTCGCGGTTCACTGGTCCCGTTGGACCTAAGCGAAGAGATCTCGCGACCGAATTAGGATCCCTTTTAGATCTACGAACGATTGATCCTCGCCAACGTCGACAAGAGGAATTACCGAAGAGCGAAGTGGTTGAGAATTTTTGGGAGTCTGGGAAAGATTGAGACCTGGACCACACATCAGGGCCACGACTGCACCTCCCTAACCGCGTGATATTTTCGTCGACGTGACGTCACAGAAAGACGCAAGCTCGAAATAGAAGACGGTCCTCTTCTTCTAGGATGTTTTCGGTGACTCTCTCGGTTGAAACGCCTCTTCGCTTGATCCTACGACGTATCCCACGTCTGTTTACGATGCATCCGTGTGCCGATCGACACGAAGGTCGGATCGATCATCGCGGACGTTCGCGAGATGAACATCGTTCGATGAATCTGTTCGACCTACTAACGCTTTGGCACTTTGCGCGTCGATGATATAATAATCGGATAATAAAGACGATATGTAATTATTTTTTATAAAATATTGTATCATCGATAAAACGAAATTACTGCACCAATTTTATCAATAAACCATCGTCGCCATCGCTCTATTCGATGATTGATTAAATCTTGTTTTTTTCCAATCAGATTCGAAATATTGTCAAGAGATCATCAACAGAAGCTTGTCTCGTGTTTAAAGGGTGGGACGATATCGAGAGAGGCAATACCAGCTAGCTGCGCAGAAACACAACCAGGCGTTGCTCAAGCACGATTATTACCAGCAAATCGCGAGATACTTCGAACGAGAGTGCCGAATCGCCAAGCACTACGATTCTTGGAATTATAGGAATTTAGACCCCAAAGGTGAGCTCGAGAAGGCTAAAAAAGCGGAAAGGTTACATGTCAGAAGGAACAAATTGAGAAATTTGTTGAAGGAGGAGGATGAGACGTACAGAAGAGAATTGGAGGAACGAAAAAGAGTAAAAAGCCGCGAGGAAGAAACGTCGTTAGAGGCTTTGAGGCAAAAATTACGAGAGAAACGCGCAGAACAGAGTCTGTATCTACCTAGAACTTGTCGAAGATATCAATCTTACTTCGTCTGTCCCAAAGAATCGACCAATACGGGGTGGGACACTCTCAGAGGTACCAATCTTCAATATTCTCGTGCTTACAGAGATTCGATAAACGTTGTCCGTCCAATCGATCAAAATTTTCGTCGTAGAGGCTCGAAAATGACCGAAGATAGCAATAAGACCTCTCACGAGCAAGAAATTGTACAAACAGAACCAGAACCTTTGCGCTATCCTCCGTATCCAGGATATTCGTACCATGAACCTGGCAGACCCGTTTCCAAATACTCGGCCCGTTATGCTCATAGAAGTTTAGAAAATACTAACATGAGAACTAACGAACCTGACGACCACCCAAGTAGTCCGTCTCCGGCTTCTGCTTCGCCAAATAGAGAAATTCCTCCTCGTGTAGATGATAAAGAGTCCGCCACAGAACTAGATAACAAACAAAACGATTATAAAAACGACACAATAAGCGGAAGTAGTCCAGTCAGCCCGAAAGACGAACAATCCAAGAATCTCGCTGAACAGGATGATATTTCCAATCAAAAAATCGATCAAGATAGTGTGGATACATGTGAGGTAGAAAGCTCGATAAACAAATATAATAACGACAGAGATCAAAACACAGAAAAGAGGGATACTCGACAGTTCGAAGTTGAGAAAACCATGCCCTGGTTGCGAATGATTCCCGAGGACAAGAATCTCTCGAGGCAGATGTTCCTTTACTTGACTCACAAGGAGCTGAAATCCAAGATCGAGGACATCAAGAAGAGAGAGACGCACGCGTGCAACAAGCAGTGTTGGGACGAGGCTTTGCGGCTGAGGGATATGAAGAATAGGCTGGAACTAATTCGCGAAAAGAGGATGTATCATACGGAAAACCTCGATTTGGACGAAGAATCGAGAAAATGGGGATTCCTCAACATCGATAAGAGGGAAGCGGAACTTCTTCAACGAGAAAAAGTCTGTACGGATTCAACAATGTACAGGTAAATTTTAACAAATTACAATAATAGATTCATTTGATTGTTGGAAATGTTATTCCATGACCGTTGGTGACGAACGAGATTATTCGACTATAATATACATAAAATTATATATGTACGAATAGAACTCGAAAATACTTATGTGCAAATGTATTGTAAGTTCCTTTAATGTTCATCTGATGACCAGATTTGTTACAATATCGGTATGTGACCGTGAACGATGTTAAGGGTCTAGGACGACGAATAGCACCTCTCGAATTAGTCGAGATTCGTCGATGTTGCAACCGAAAGCCGTGACTCATTCATGTCTCTCTCCCTCACTCTTTATCTCTTGATGTGCACTAACCGCTTACACGCATCGAGTGTTTCGTAAATACGTGCCAAGGCGTTCGTCATCCTGTACGCCTTACGTTCGGTCCTCGATAGATCGCAAATAGGTGGTCTACGATGGAGTCTCTAACGATAAAGACGCGAATGGTACAAGGATAGATGGGTGAAAACATAATAAAAAAGAATTGGGAAGTCGAGTTATAAGTAATCCTGGATCATAAGGATGATGAAAAGTACTAGAATTATTTTATTGTAATTTTCTAGTAATCTTTAATAATCTTTGTTTTTGTATATATTATTTTAGTGAAGATGCAAAAGCCATGTGGAAGAAATGGGTGCACGAAGATGAACAATCCGTGATCAAGGAGGCTTTGGTGCGAAGGGAAAATTTGATGGACAAATTGGAAAAAGAATGGCAGCGCTTAGCAATTCATGAGAAAGAAAAAATCGCACAATCGTACCAGATTGTAACGAACGATTCTGCTCTACAAGAGGCGCCTAAACTAGCTGCAGCTGTTAACGCGGCTAAAATGAAATCGGTCTCCAGTTCCTTAAATTAGACCATAAATCATATTTTACATTTACTCGTAGTTCATGATTTTCTGCCCACGGTGACGGATACTGTTGGATATATTTGAAGAAAATTTAGAGAACTGATTCAATTATAGTAAACTATAGGTAAAAAAATAAAAATACAAAAAAATAAGATAAAAAGGAAAGAGATATGTTTAACAGTTTGCAACTGTTAAACGTTATTGAAGACTGATTATATTCTTATTAAATTCCTGTTTCGTTAAAAAAAGTATTACATATATTGAAATTGTGCCTAATCATTTTGTGTATTTTTCAATATCTTAAATGATTGTTTGTAAAATTGGACGGTATAGAACCATTACTTGTAACCGTTACATATTTAATTACTGGATTTTTATATCAATTTTATCATTTCTATTATCTCTAATCGCTTTTATGTTGGCAGTATTATATTGTTATTATCTACTACCCTTTACCGTCAATTCCAATTTATTATTCACAAATGTTTATGACGATATTTTACTAATGACATTACTGTACGTTGCATTATTGTCTTGGAAATAAAATGAACTTGGAAGTAACGGGGCATTTTTTATATGTTTATAATTTGAAAAATCTAAATTTTATTATCTATATGTATATGTATAATGTAGAAATTATCGACTAGGGTTTTGGCCAACTAGTCGACTAGCCAATTGGCTCCCAAGAAACCGATTATTCATGTCTGCTAATCATTTTCAAATATCATTACAAAAGGCATCGTATTTATGAGCATTTAGTACGGCGAACATATTAACATATATTAACATATATTTATTTTATTACATCCTGTTTTTTGTTATGAAAAGAGTTGAAAGTAATATCCAAAGTTCCTAGTTAACTGGTAACTATTTCGCTTATTTCAATCTAATACTAATTACTGTATTGAATTTTGTATGTAATAATTATGTAACATTCAAATATGTACTTATAAGTAAGTAGGTATATTATATATTAAAAAATAGTAAAATTATGCTAATGACAATGAAAAAAGAATGTTATATATATTTTTATTTTTATGCCTTATCAAGTTATTTTTATTGCCTTATAATACTGAAAATTTAAGACTGATCGATCTGTCTCTTTTGCCGACTAGCCTACTCCTGTAAAAGTCGCTTCACCACTAATACGATGTAATGTGGCGAATTTCAAATTTACCGCGAAAGATTGCACGCCGATAAAATTTGAAATCATTTTCTGTTTGGTACGCAAGATGGCGTGGCGAGGTTGGCAGTCGACTCACGAAAATAGCGCGTAGCACTCGTGTTCGCCGTTATAAAGTCGCGTTTATTTGTAATTATTGATACTGTCAAGACGTGTTTAAGTGATAATTAGTGCATCAATCACCAAAACCACAATGAGAACGTGTTTGTCCACGCAGAGGCACTCATCCTTGTATACTTCACATGCTTTCGGCGATTCTTCAGTCTTCGGTTAGTTAAGTACAAACTTTGCTTATACATATTTTATAAAGAATTACATAATTTTCTGCCTGTAACATGTAATAAAAAATGTATCATATGCTAGATTTTGTTACTATTATGACAATTTGTCGTCACAAAAAAGTTTGATTGTATAATACATTTAGTGCTACATGCTCCAGATGAGTACATATTATCATATAACTATATCAAACATATAATACGTGAATTTCTATTCCCTTAATGATAAACGACGTATAACCTGAAAAATATACAAATCATGCTATCGTTCGTAATAGGAAATATGCTTTCGAAAAGTGAGAAAGTATCGCACGTGCGTCGCGAATACTATACATATATGCGTATATGTATATCAACAAACGTTTACAGTACCGCGAATTCCAATAGAATCTGTTTTTTTCATTACCACATGTGTTTAGTTACGAGTTGTGACAACAAATCGAGGATAGCGGCCTTAGTACTTTATTATTGTTTCCATTCGGATCTGTTAATTAAGAGGCAACTTTTTTTTCGTCTGAACGAAGGCACGAAAGAATTTCCAAGGAATTCGCGGTAGCATAAGCTAGGTGGTCGCCATTAATCGTCAGGCATACCCCGTGACAACGACCAAATTAGTCGGCCGATCCGTCAAAAAGAGCATTTCTGTGGTAGGCGTGCATTATATCCTCCGCGGACCGAGCGCCACATGGCACTTTGCGCGCAGACACGCCTGCGCATTCACCTTCCGAGTATTCCACGGCAAATGTGTTTGCATATACAGTGTTGTTTAAGCGTTATTACGTTAACGTCGGTTCTACTTTTTTAAATTATTCCGAAACTGAGGAAAAATTTGTAATTTAAATCATTTAAATGGACATTTCATAGAAATATTTATATTTATTCATTTGGAAAAATATTTGATGGGAAGTCTCCCTTTAGAAGTATTAGAAATAACAAACTACAAGTCACGAGTAGTTAAAGAACTTAACCTGTTATAACTCTAGCCTCAAATTCGATGTGCTTCCATTTTTCTACACATCGTTCATATCCATTTTTCTAAATAAATTACTCCACATTTAGTACATTTGCAAGACCTATAGTCGATCTAATGACTATAATTTATTGATTCAATAACTTTGAAGTTTGTGATTATGCAAGTTTCTATTTAATAGGTTAACGTACTCTTTCTTGTAATAAGTTTTCTTTAAATCGCCTGTTTACGCATATAAGAACGGTATCATAAGGGCATCGATGGTCTTTTTTCCATTTTCAGTTACAATAAAACAATTAATGGCGTTAGGTATTCGGAATATAATTAAATGTAAACTATGTAGATCAAAGAATTCAATTAGAGTAGCTACAGAAAATGATTCGCACATCATTATATCCATTATGACATTTACGTATTGATTAATTAAGTCCAAGTGTATTAAGTTTCGTATCATTTAGCAATACTTTCATGTAACAACAAAAATGTGATACCATGAAACTAAAATATAGAACCTGATAAAAAAGCGCCCTATTGGAAAATAGGGGTAGGTATATGCAAATACTTCCTGTCTCCATCCTGCATAATATTATCCTACTGAATTACACTAAAAAAAAAAACTCGCTTATACCAATACGAAAAATAATGTAACTCTCAAAAGGATAAATCATTGTTCGATCCGCGGGCAAAATGGTCCAAGTCTAACAAACTACTTATCATGTAGCGATGTATCCTTAACGACCGTACAAGATGCATCCGCGTTGTATTTTTCAGCGGGCCATCGATCTCGAATTTTCGTGTTAACATTTAAATCACACCCACACTGTACATCCGGGACCATGGTAAACTGAAAGCAAAAGACATAGAGGAAGCGGGAGAGAGAGAGAGAGAGAGAGAGAGAAAGAGAGAAAGAAATATAGTTCGTAATACGTGGTATCGTGCGTGCAATGGCCCATGAAAGCTGACTGTCTGCTCGGCACCCAGGAGAAGAGGGATGCAGCCACGCCAGCTATGTTAATTAAACGCGTTTCTAGCCCCCGCATAGGAAATCAGAGAAAAAAGGAGATGAGACGAGCGATGCTCGAGGAGATGGGGCAACGTGAAAGAGGGTGCCGGCTAATAACACGTCCCGTACGACGAACGCACGCCACACGCCCGTCTTCTGCTTCTTCTTCTTCTTCTTCTCCTTCTTCTTCGTCTTCCCTTCTTCTCCTCAACCTCCACCATCTTTTCGTCCACCACTTCTTTCTCCGTCTGCTTCTTCTTTCTCGTTCTCCTTCCACTATTGTTTTTTGTCTTCGTCCGTCACTTGTCTTCTTGATGCCAGAATGTCGTAACAATCCGGTCGACTGTCCGAACGACTGCGTTTTTTGATATTTCGAAAGGCTGAAAAAATTGCGAGGGTTACGGGAAAGATGGCGTTTCTTGTCTTGTAATTTCATAATTCAAAAGTTTGGTAAAAGAAAAGAAGAAATAAATTCGTTCGGGGGCAAAAGCAATTTTAATGCGTCGTAGGCTTGTGCGAAGGTGCTTTCCGATTCTTTGCTTCTTCCAAATAAAAACCACGGCGCTCGAAATAGTTCCCTTTGAGACACCACTTTCATCTTTCTTCTCACAATTAGTTTCAAATCGTTAAACTTCAATTTTGACGTTAATTTTAGTAAAGATCGCAACGCTAATAATCTCGGTAAGTTTCAATTGTCCTATGAATTTCATTAGGTCGTTGGTCGCTGAAAAAACGGGGCATCGATAAGATCCTGTCCTAAGACCGATTAGTTCAAATCGCGATAAGGTTATTGGGTATCACGGTTACACGGAAATTACGCTCGTCACGGGTTGTCGCTTATACATGATAAAGAAAAAAAAAGAGAAGAAAAGGAAGAAGAGAAGGAGAATAAAAAGGACAGAAAAAGAGTGGTGCCAAGTAGATGGAAGGAGAAAAAAAGACACGCTTTAAAGGGCCAGCTAAAGTTACGCTAGCGACAAATTAGTCGACCAATAACGGAGTGTGAGGGGTTGCTGGGTTTCACGGAAACGCATACACGGACCACGTGGCTCCCCATAAAGGGAAGCAATGAAGACAGCATATGTCTGACAAGCGCTTAATCATCGGGGAAAATTTTCTGTCGTCGACAGATTAGCCTTGCGAGAGCGAGCCGGTTCGACTTCTAACACTTGCAGTTTGTGCGCGTTTCGCACCCTTGGTGTCTCTTCCGCGACGTTCGTTCCTTTACGATCGTACGATCGGCTGATCGTAATTTCTCTCGTTTCCTTGTCCTTTTTAGAAGTTCCGCTAACTTTAATGCTTCCGAGAAACGCCGACCGAATGGGAACACCGTTCGCGTGCAATTAAGTATCGATTCGCGGACAGAGAGAAAAAAAGACAGAGGAGAAGGGGGAAGAAGAGAAGAGATTAAGAGTAAATTGTGGCATAATCGTCCGGTGCGTCCGAGTAAAATTTTGGTCGCAATTTTGGCCACTTTAAACTCAATTTGCACGCGTCCTGGGTTATTCAAGCCAGTCGAAGAACTCGCGGAACAGTGTAACGAAACGTTAGTATGTACAAAGTTGTTCAAGCATGCAAGTCGATGATGCGTTAATTTTTTCTTTTCTCCTCTCTTTACCTCTTTCACTTTGATCGTTGTCCCTCATTCCCCGGCGGGTGGTACGCACGATGGGGGAAAATTGATTTGATTATTCGCGACGAAACGAAGTGAACACCGTTGGTATTATGTAAATTTTTGTCCATTCGATGTTTCTGCCCGGAAAGTTCATTATACGCTCTATGAAACTTGGCCGAAATGCGAACAATAAATCGCGATTATTTGGCCTGGTATTAAATAACCGTTAAATAAAATAATATATTATAATCGGTGTTTACGCGGCTCCTAGTATTCGGCGCGATTTTAATCGCGTTACCGATCCGATAATTGAATACGATAAATGAATCCGACGAATTCGATAGAAAACGACAACCGAACACGGGCTGTGCCTTTGAACGCGTTCGCGCGTTACTCGTTCTCGTTATTCGCACAATGTATCACCCTGGATGGTGGCGTACAGCAGCGACGCAGTTTCCTTGATCCGCGACGCGCAGGTACATTTTTTCTACGATATCGTAACAACGAAGCAA